ACCGCTGCTGCTCACGAATGCCATGAGTCTGAAAGGTCAAAAACACACAGGGTAAATTTTAGCTGCACTCTGCTAAACTCTGGAGGTTTTTTTCCCTTAGTTTTCCTCCCAAGAATTAAAATGTCAATGTTTGGTTACAAAATGTAATTCGGATTTAAAAACTGTGTCAGGTATTACACAAACATGCCTTGTGATTTTCTCTGTTTAATGTTTGTGCACAAGTGGATTAGACCATGTGTATTTACTGAGTGTTTACTGGAGAAGCTAGGATGTTGTTACTAAATCAGACCAAAGAGAGGCTTTCTGTTTACCCTTATTATATTATGTTTTATTATAAAATGATGATTAGTTGATCACAAAAGCCCGTGGTGCACCATTCAGTGTCCAGTGGGTCATTTTGTGAGGTTTTTCTTTTTTTAAACTAATTGTTTGTTATTGCCTAACAATGTCTAGTTGATTTTCTTATTCTATCAAAACAGTGCAACAGTTAACAATGAAGGAGTTGTTTCTTTTTTGTGTTTAGTTTAGTTACTTATTTGCAAAGAACAATAATAATGCTGTGGTATATTATTTACCAGGTCTAAGAAGTTTATAATGGTGAGACTAGTTGCTGTGAAATCAGTGCGCGGTTGATCTGACGTTTACTTAACTGTTGATCTCAGTCTGTTTTAATCTCTGTTGATGTTTCAGTTGCCCCTTTTAGTTGAGTTTTTTGATGTTGTTTTTTTGACTCTGTGTCTCAAAAAACATGACAAGGTGTTTAAAAGGCCTGTAAATATTACATTAGTTGGATTTTACTTTAAGCGTACCAGTGTTTATTTGTAAATAGATGTATACCTGTAATTGGTCTTGCTGTTTTCATTATGTGGGTCTTTTAAATGCGTTTAAATGTCCTTTAGGAGTCAAGTTAATCTATAATCTGGTATAATCTGGTGTAACCTGGACGTGAAGATAACACAGGAGCTTATTTCTTTATTTTTTTTATTTGCAGAATGAAACCCAGGAAAGTCAAAGAAGACGATGCCCCCCGCACGATAGCTTGCCCTCATAAAGTGAGTTCATTGATGGTGTCCCTCCTTGTCACTGTTCTGGCAGAACGGAGCTCATAGCTCCTGATGGGTTTAAAAGTCTTGCACTTTGTTGCTTTCCGTGTAATTGGAAATTTCACTGAAGGTTATTTAAAAGCACTTGAGTGTATTGATTTTTATGTGTGCACTAGAACAATCAGGCCTTATCTGAATTAGCTAATGTAAATGGGTTTTGTTCGCTCCGTGAGCTGCTTGCTACTTCAGTGTGAGGCTTTTAAGAGTACATAATCACTTCAGGAGAGAATAAGGGCACTCTTACTCTATCCCTCTGTTTTTCACAATTTAAAGATGTGTCAGAGAAACTGCAGAAAATGCTGAGCTCCCTTTAAGCATGCATTTGCAGAGAAAACCTGAACCTTGCTGCAAAGCGCCTTACTAACTGCTTCTTCGCTCCTTCAGGGCTGCACAAAGATGTTCAGGGATAACTCGGCCATGAGGAAGCATCTCCACACCCACGGACCCCGTGTGCACGTTTGCGCAGAGTGCGGCAAGGCCTTTGTTGAGAGCTCCAAGCTCAAGCGCCATCAACTCGTTCACACAGGGGAGAAACCCTTCCAGGTTGTCCACACACACACACACGCACAGACTTTCCATATAAAGCTTATAAACTCAGCACTGCAGGGTGCTTAATTCAAGTGAAGGAAAATGGGCTAAGTAATTTCTCCCTGATGAGATTCACCCACCAAATGTCAGTAAAAGTTTATCTTTGGTGGGTAAATGACACCGGCTGGAATTGGATAAAATCTTTTCAGACAATTTCTGCTCGAGCAATTTTAACAAGTGATTCTGAATAAACACTGACAAATTTTCATCGAAATGAGACCATTGCTGTGGAAGGTTTTAAAGACGCACTGTTCAATCATTCCTCTGCTCCTCTCATCTGCCCTCAGTGCACCTTCGAAGGCTGCGGGAAAAGGTTTTCTCTGGACTTCAACCTGCGCACGCACGTGCGGATCCACACTGGAGACCGGCCCTACGTCTGCCCTTTCGACGGCTGCAATAAGAAATTCGCCCAGTCAACCAACCTAAAGTCTCACATTCTCACACACGCCAAAGCCAAAAATAACCAATGAGAACGTATCCATCAGCGTCGAGTCACGAAGACGAAAAAAGAAGAAAGAAAAAAAAAAAAGAGCATTCTAGCGACACACGTGAGACCTCGTTTGAAGATGGAATGAGAAGCTTGAGACTTATTGATTTATATTAAAAATCTGACAGATTAAAAGACTTAGAACACTGAAATTCAGCTGGTTTTTCCTGAGCCCCCTTTCTTCTTCTTCTGCTGTCATATTGGATGAGGAACGCAGTGACTATTCCCTAAAGCCCCAGCCAGCACAGTCCCTTCGTCTCTCCAGTGGCACTCAGCTGCCAGAAGATGGAACCCATGGACAAACATCAGAGACTTATTTTTACCAGAGTGATCAGAGAAGCAGCGGGCTATTAGTATTTTTATTTTGTCGCATTGCTTTTATTTCCCTCAAGTGTGCATATTGTACACTTGACTCAGGCTGTGTTTAGTATAATTGTGTTTTGTTTGGGTTTTTTTCTCCTGCATTAAGAGATCGTACCTATGATACAAAAGAAGAGGCCTCAAGACTTGTTTGACCTGTTTCACATGTATACAAAGTTTAAAAAACAAAACAGCTGTATCTTTGCATTTTCACACCTTCTTCGGTTGTATTTTTCTCTAACCACAGAATAACCTTGTATACTTGTATTGTATGGCTGTATTAAAATTCAGTAGACATAGATAGAGGTGTGATTTAAAGTGTTAACCGATTAAACTTTAGTCATGAGTTGCTTTATATTTTCTAAGAACCGTCTTTACACAGATGAACAAGTAATATGATCTCACTCAGAGCCTGTCACAGTCAAATTACCTGAAGCGTGCTTTGAATTGACTGCGAGACCATCACCTTCTTTGTTAGAATGTAATGTACAGACGTCAACCATGAACTTCCTTTGTTCATATTTACACACATGTATCTCACCTGCCCACCAATAAAATGGGTCATTCCAACTCTGAACTTCACAGTTAGTTTTTACTGAAGTGGGTCTTCTGAAGCCTTCAGACTGACAGAAGACTGAAGACAGTCTTCTGTCAGTCTGCTGCTGCACAGCATCTCCTCTGGCACAGTGCGCCATGTTAATAACCAAGAGGGAGCCAGAAGGAAAAAGGAGACGGTGTTATAAATGATTTTTCTCCAAAAGTGTGGAAAACAAGTTGTGATTAAATCCTAAAATACTGATACGCTCATCTGACACTGTTCCAACTGCTCCTTTGTGTGACTACCTAATCAGCCAATCACATCACTCATTGCATTTAGGTATATAGACATGGTGGCCTTGTTTAGTCTGTGCAATGAAAGTTAAGGCAGTGCTGAAGGCAAAAGGGAGCCCAACCCAGTACTAGTAGTATGAATGTGCGTAAATGTTTGACAGAAAGCATTTAAGCATAGAAAAAAGTTAATGGGTGAATGAGACGCGTAGTATAAAGTACTCTAAGTGAAATTTATGTAGTTTACTCCCCCAAACAAAAGACCACAAAGTAGCCTGATGTCAGCTCTGATTCTTATGTCTTAAACTGTCCATCATCAATTTTCTCAAAGGTGGAAGGTGTGTTACGCCCGGGACAGGTGATGGACAGGTGTAGGCATCAAGCACAAAGAAAGGTTCCAGTCGACCAGGACGGGAGGTTCACATTCAGTATTATTGGTTTACAAGACCTGTGCTGGCAAATGGTATGGGCACTGTAATATCATTTTAGATCGCTTTAATAGTTAATTGCCTGGGTGACCTCTCTTTTGGGGCTCTCCTCAGCTCTTCCCAGGAGGGTGGCACGGTTGCCCCTTTGGTGGTCCTCCTTGGGTCCTCGTACTCTGGGGCCTCTGGATGTCTGGGGCCTGGATCTCCTCCGTACCTGCTTCATGCCCT